TATGTATATGTATATGTATATGTATATGTATATGTATATGTATATGTATATGTATATGTATATATATATATATAAAACCCAGAACCTAGCCTGAAGATGGCGAATGAGACCTCGCCAAAATGTTGCCAAGACATTTTGTTCTGTTCCAACATAATTCTGGAAAGCCTCGAGCAATTTCAATCAAACTTGGTACATAGATGACTTATTCTCTGGGAAAAATACTGTTGGGGTAAGACACCCCTAACACCCTCTCTCTCTCTCTCCGTCTCTGTGTCTCTGTGTGTGTATGTGTTCCAGAATAACTCTGGAATGCCTGGGCTGCTGAAAAAGAATGAATTATATCTATAGTGTCAAATCACAGTACTTTTGACAGTGATAGTGAGCACTAGTGTCCTTTGCATTTTCCAGCCAAATAATATTTTTTTCTCTCATTCATTCATTCATTCATTCATTCATTCATTCATTCATTCATTCATTCATTCATTCATTCATTCATTCATTCATGTTACAGTGTGCTGTATACATATAAAAAAAATTCTGGGAAGATCCTTCCTGAAACCTTGAAAAGCAATAACTGGTCTAATGAACCAAGAATCCAACTGAATGTCAGGCAGCTTCATGTATTCAGATACCCTAATTCTGCAAACAGAGTTCAATGTTTTCTCCATTTCCTGCCTAATCGTTTGATGCATTTATTTTTGTTTGTTTAATTTCTAGAGCCAGCATCCATTAACCACGAATCATGTCAGTGAAACTAACCTTTGCCTCCCCTGCTGATGGGGGAAGAATCAGCAGGAGCCGTTCCTTCGCTGGATTTAGCAGCACACAAAGCCGGATGTTGGCGTAAGCTTTACATGCAACAAACCTCTTTCTAGCCTCTGTTTTTCTGGTTTAGATATAGTGTGTTGTATGTGCAGGACTGACTGCAGTGTGTTTGTGTTTGAAAGATTAATATGTAATGATATATGGGACTAAAACACTGACACAAGAATCATGTTGCCGGCTAATTCTACTGACTGTCAACTGCCAGCAGTTTGAGTCTCACCGGCTCAAGGTTGATGTCTGATGTTAGCAAAATGAGGACCCAGATTGTTGGGGGCAATTTGGTAATATATCTGAATACCGCTTAGAGCAGGGATGTCAAGCTGGCAGCCTGCGGGCCAGATGCCTCATGTGCAGGCTACACCCACCTCAACTCCATGAAGGGGGGAAAACATCACGATACGTCATGTGATGGCTGTTGTAGCCTGCCAGCTTACAGCAGAGCTGGCAGCAGATTCAGACAGTGAGGAGGTTGGGGAGGAAAATGGGCCAGTCCTGGAGTCTGGGAAAGGTTCTGATGAGGGCTCTGTGTTGGAGGCAGAGAGGGAGCCAGGGCCATATGCCAGTTATCAGCTGCCTTCAGAGTCAGACATCAGTGATGCAGACAAACAACTGGAGCCTGTTCCCAGTGTGCACTTGCGCGGAGTTGCCAGACAAAGGGAACAGCTAAAGAACAGGAGTTGACTTGGGAGTAAGGCCACATGATGAATGGCTCCTCCCAGAGGAAATAAAAGAGGAGCAAAAGGGGAGTGGAGTTTGCAGGAGACAATTAGTTCGCTAATTGGTTTGTGACTCTCGGAGACTCCTTGCCAAATTCTGCAGATAATGGCCTGTCAGCTCTCCAAGCCAGATAAACCGTATCTGTGACCGTAAACCCTCCTTTGAAAGGCTTTGCTGGCTCTGAATGAACAGAATTCACAGTAAATTAATAAAAGGGTTTTTTGTCAGGACAAGGAGTTTGTTTCATCCTCTTGGGAAACCTCAATCAGAACAACAGCAAGGTGGCTTGGCGAATTTGATACCCGTGGCTTAGAGGGTGCTATAAAGCAGTATATAAATCTAAGCGCTATTGCTATTATGAGGAAATGGCATCAGTGGATGAATACAAGTAAAAGTAAATCTACACGCAAAGGAGGCTTGACTGACTGATTGATGGTTGGATGAAGTTGTTGTTCATGGATTTTTACCCTTCAAGTATGGGACTCCGACTGGTTTACAAGTCTACAATACATAGGTAGAAGTGAAATCCATTCCAAAAATTACATGAGGCATTTGCAATACTATAACAGTCTGTTCCAGTTAAGTCCTGTATTGTTTAGACAGTTTATTAAATAAACATTGGTATTTATGTAATGCAGAGTATTAAATCATGATTTATAAATCTTAATAGCTGTGCCTGTTTAATATACTAAGCCAAAGTCAAGGAAACCACACTTGGTTTAGCATAACTGACCTAGAACACACAGTCCTGGGTAAATTAAAGTGCTTTAATCTTTTAACAGATTGACAGAATTGGAAGGGATCTTAAAGGTCATCTAGTCCAATCCCCTGCTCAAGCAGACCCTACACCATTTCTGACAAATGGCAGTCAATCTCTTCTTGAAAGCCTCCAATGATGAAGCCCCCATAATTTCCGAAGTCAAGCTGTTCGTTCCATTGGTTGATTGTTTTCACTGTCAGAAAGTTTCTCCTTATTTCCAGGTTGAATCTCTCCTTGATCAGTTTCCATCCATTATTCCTTTTCTGGCCTTCAGATGCCTTTGAAAATAGCTTGACTCCCTCCTCTCTGTGGCAGCCCCTCAAATATTGGAACACTGTTATCATGGTCCTTCTCGTCACTAGACTAGCCATGCCCAGTTCCTGTAACCATTCTTCATATATTTTAGTCTCCAGTCTCCTAATCATCCTGATTGCTCTCCTCTGCACTTTTTCTAGAGTCTCAACATCTATTTTATAGCACGGTGACCAAACTAGATGCAGTACTCTAGGTGTGGTCTTACTAAACTAGACCTAAGATAAAAAACCAGCATATGATCTGGAAGAGGCAGCTACAGTAAGGAAAGAAATACAACTGTCGCCTGTAAATGAGTTCAGATGGATAAAGGTATCTTAAATATGCTCACAGGGGCATCTTAAGGGACATTCAGAAGAGTAAAAAATATTGGCTACCATCATACAACACAAAGGGCTTTGATTGTGTGATCATGGCTGTCATTTTGACACCCACTGTTTCAATTTTCCTTCTTTCCTTCTGTAGGAAGTTAGCAACCCCCCCCCCCCCACTTCCAAGAAAAATGCAATATCCTGGGAAATATTGAAAAGGCAGAATATTATATTTCCCTGGATCAGAAATGGAGAAACATGTTTTTAGGCAGGAAACAGACTCACTCTTAATAGCCCCCTCCTTTGTCAATGGACCTGTCAGCATCACTCCATTACATAATTAGGAAAGGAAGACTAAGAGACTCCATGGTTTGGAAATTCAAAGTACTTTTACTAATTATAA